CGTGATTTGACGAGTTTCGGCATCGAATGTAGAAGTTGCAAATTTCAAAGTTCATAAAGTTTGGATTGGAGTACGATTCATGATTTCGACGTTGTTTGATGTGATTTGAGGCCTTGAGTGAGTTCATATCATGTTTTGGGACATGTTTATATAATTGGTTAAGGTCCCGAGGGCCTCGGGTGAATTTCGGAAGGTTAACGGAATGAATTTCGGACCAAAGAGCTGCTGAAATTTTCTGCAGAAAGCTGTTTTGACAGCAACTAGTGCAATCGCTGAGCTGAATTTGGAAGCTTATATCTCGAAATCTATAAGGAATCTGAAAATTTAAAAAACATAAAAGTTGTTGCCCTTGTATTATAGTTTCCAGAAAGTTAAACCACTCATGATTTGGACATTTTATCAGAAAGTTATGATCGATTGAAGATGGATGGTGGAGCAGTTTCGATAGAATTTTCTGATGCATGGATCCGACTTTAGAAGCTCATATCTCGGAATATATAAAGAGTTATATGGTGTGCAACCTATCAAATGAATATCTTCGAGTCTAGGTTCTAAATCTTCAAACCGTTTGTCATTTGGATATTTTCACAAGGAGTTATGGTCGTTTTAACAGAAGGTGTACAGCAGGGAAAAATTGTAATAGGATGTACAACCTGCACAGCGCAAGGTACAACTCGATGAAGCCTGGGCAGATTCTAAACACGAGTTTTGGCCCATTTGTTTCATTTCTTTCATTTGGCTTGGACGATTTTGGAGAGCTCAAGGAGGGATTTTCACCAAGCAACACTAGGTAAGTGATTTCTTCCTATTTTTGAGTTAAATATGTGATCTTACATGGATTTAGACATGGAAAATTAGCATAAATTTGGGATTTTTGGGGAAGACCTAGTATTTGAAATTTTGGACTTTTACCTTGAATTTGAGAATGAAAATTAGAGCAAATTATATATTTGAGTTAGTAAAGCTATGGGTAGAATTTATCTTCGAGAAATTTCGGAATCCGGGCACGTGGGCCCGAGGGCATTTTGGTCAACTTTTCGAGCGAAGTTGGGAACTTATATAATTTGAATTGTTACAAGTATTAGAGTGAATTTTTATTGGTTTGCCCGTTAGTTTTGGGGCATTGTGCATCAATTGGAGTCGTTGGAAGGGCTTGGAAGCCGGTTATGAAAATTTCGGAGCGAGTTGAGTCTCCTTTCTAACCTTGTAAGAGGAAATTGTCCCCATAGGTAAAGTAAATGGTTATGTGCTCCTATTTGTGGGGGCTACGTACGCACGAGGTAACGAGAGTCCGTGCGTAGCTACTAATATGTGTAAGTTCGGGTAATCTAGGACCCAAAAGCATGCTATACTTGGAATATCTGTGATCTTATTGACAGTTGAATTTCTTAAATCCTATCGAATTGGTAAATGAATTTCTAAGATGGATTAAAATTCATTTTCTTAAATCATTAAAAGAGAATTGGCTTTTATTTGGATAAATGTTCCCCGATAAATTCTTAATTTGTTGTTTGAGCATGTATTTCTATGTGTATCTTCGTTGCATGTATGATTCGTGAGCAGGATGATTGTTTAGTTAAATTTAACTGCGTCGCATGTATGATTCACGAGCGGGGTAATAGATTCATCTATGGTTCGCGCCGTTCGACCCTCGGCAGTGCACATTTTACATTTGTGTTGGATCGGGCCGTACGACCTCGGCATGAGTTGCGCATGCTTGTATTGCCTACCTTGAGATTTATTGAGATTGATAGATGCTTTCCCCGACTTGAGATAATTGTTAATTAATGTGTTATGAACCCGGAGACTTTTAATAAAAAGAAACTTTTACCTGTTTCGTGGCTCATTTGAATTTACTGTCGTTCTTAATAAATCCATGATTCATTGCATGAATAATATTATTGTTGGACCATTAGTAAGTGTCGATGTTGTATCTACTTATTCGAGATTAGGCGGGATACTTACTGAGTACACTTATTTTCGTACTCATGCTACACTTGCTGTGCATTTTGTTGCACAGGTACATGTATTACTAGTGGCCTACTGGGGTAGCAGCATGGATGATACGGAGACTAGGTGAGCAGTATTTCTCGAGGCGACCCGCAGCTAGTGTAGTCTCTCTCTCAGCATTGTATTTACTTTCTGTCCAATTTGTGTTCCGGACAGTTACTCTAATTTATTCGATTTCTTAGAAATTGCTCATGCACTTGTGACACCGGGTTCTGGGATGATTATGAAGTATTTTGTATTAACTACTTAACATTCAATTGATTTGAAACGATTATCTTTTACTGGTAAATTTGAAGGAAAGTCATAGTTTTCAAGAGTATTAAAACGAGAATTTAATTAAGTATTTTGGTTGGCTTGCCTGGCAGTGGTGTCCGGAGCCATCACGACCCTTAGTGGAATTTGGATCGTGACATGCAGCGTAGATAGATGTATAATAGGAATCATCCTAATCGTGCGGGGTTGAGGGGTAAATTTATTGAAGGAGTAGCTAAATTTATTGCTAAGGCTCAAACACTTGATGATTTTCTTATTAGAGGAAGGATTAGGTGCCCTTGTGTGAAATGTAAGTGTGTTAAGCATCTTTACAAGAAAGGGTTTGTAAAAAATTATTATATATGGACCGTTCACGGGGAGAATCATGTTAGTTTAGATGATGTTAACTTTCAGAATTCTTTTGGTGGTGAGGATAGCCCCATAGCAGCATAATGTTGAAATTCTCGATACAATAAAATGATGAGGGATGCTTTTGGGATGTTTCCTGGGGCTCAATCCGAACCAAATGATGAGGCTAAGCATTTCTATGAACAATTAAAGGAAGCTAGTCGTCCATTGTATGAAGGCTCGGTGCATTCCAAGTTTTTTTGTTATGGTTAGATAGCTAAGTATTAAATCGGATAGTTCTACTTTCCAAGCGGGCATGGGTTCTATTATTGGGCTTATGAATAAAGTTAATCCGAGTAACATTGACTTACCAAAAGATTTTTACACTGATAAGAAATTGTTGGGCCTTTCATCAGAGAGAATTGATTGTTGTGAGAAAGGTTGCATGTTATTTTGTAAGGATGACGTATCTTTAGAAAACTGTAAACTTTGTAATCCCCCTCGTTTTAAGAAAGTCACAAATGCCAATAATAAAAAGGGGTTCCAGTTAAAGCAATGCATTACTTACCTCTTATACCTTGGTTAAAGAGGTTGTATGCATTAATGAGCTTTGCTCCTCATATGAGATGGTACGATAAACATAAAAGGCCACCCGGAATTCTATGCCATCCGTCAGATAGAGATGCGTGGAAGCATTTTGATAGGGTGTTCCCCGAGTTTTCTAGTGAACCAAGAAATATTAGGTTAGGATTATGTGCAGATGGATTCACTCTATTTGTTGTCTCTGTTGCACCTTATTCATGTTGGCCAGTGTTTGTTACCCCATATAATCTTCCGCCCGAGCTGTGTATGACAAGTCCATATCTGAACCTAACTTGTATTGTTCCAGGTCCACACAATTCGAAAAGTTTGATTGATGTATACTTGCAGCCTTTGATTGATGAGTTACAATTATTGTGGCATTAAGGTGTGGAAACATATGATATATCAACTAAACAAAACTTCAGATTGCATGCTGCTTTGATGTGGACTATAAATGATTTTCCTTCTTATGGAATGTTGTTCGGGTGGTTGACTGATAGAAAGTTAGCTTGCCCTTATTGTATGGAAGACACAAAAGCATTTACTTTGAAACATGAAGGTAAAATACATGGTTCGACTGCCACCGTAGATTCTTGCATATGAATCATGAATTTAGGCGAAATACAAGTGCATTATGAAAAACCGAACTGATTTTGAGGAGCCACCGGCCTACTTGTGTTCAGAAGAAATTTGAAACAGAGTAAGGGATCTGACTAAAGCAACAGAGTCTCCACCATCTAAGATGCCAGGATGGCATTAGTAACCCATTGTTACGTGATATAGCTTGGGGCCTGACCTTAAAGTCAGAATGATGTCTAAATACTTGGTCAATAGGTACAAGTTTCATACAGAAGAGTGGTCTACGGGAAAGAAAACCAACAATAGTGAGGTATGGGTGAAAGGTGATGGAGATGTTGATTATTATGGTGTGCTTCAAGAGATTTTGGAACTGGAGTATACTGTAGGTTGGACGAAGAAAAAATTGGTACTCCTTTGATGTAAGGGGTATGATCCAACACCGAATAGAGGTACAAAGGTGCACGCTCGGTACAAAATAGTTGAAATTAAACACACGGGGCAGTATAGACTTTATGATCCCTTTATCATTGCACAAAAGGTAAAACAAGTATATTATGCTCCTTATCCTTTGAGCAAGAATAAGTCTGCATGGCGGGTAGTTTTAAAAAAAAAACGTGGGTAGAATGGAAGTCAAAGATGCAGGTGTACCAAAATGACATTTCAAGTGTTGAAGCAATAGTGGATGATGAATTAGCAGATGAATTGTAGCATAATGAAGGAATATATGAAGAATTTGATCCTTCTGTTCGTGGACCAAATGAGGACGAAGATAAAGGTATTGAACATGAAATAAGTGATGAAGAAGAATTACTAGATGAAAGTGAAACAGGCGATGATGAATACTTAGCGATGATAAAGACTTAGATGATTAGTATGAAGATAGCGATGAGGATTGACTTGTTCTTCTTTTTTATGTTGTTCTTCCTTCAATCATTTCATATATTTGAAGAATTTTTGTATGTTTTTTATGACGTGCTGGGGTTTTTATATTATTCCTTTAATTATTTATTATGTTGCAAAATTATTTTATATCTTTATGACTTGTTAGGTTGTTTATTTATTTCTTTAGCTTTTTTGTGGAATAATTATTTTATATTTACTATCACTTGTGTGTTTTTTATTTTGTATTTTATTATGATTATATTACATATATGGCATCTAAGGGGAAGGAAAAGGTGAAATCTAAGCAAAAAAAGTAATCTTTTCCAACTACCTCAACTATGCCAAATATGAGTCCTCCTCTTCCTCGACATCCTCTTTCTCATCCTCCTCAGTCGACTTCATTGACATCTACCATGTTCATTATTCCCCCTCTGTTTAGTAATTCGGCTCAGTATTATTCTATGCCTACCAAAGAAAGTCAAAGTAACATTGTTTTTAACTTTATACCCACACCTTCTATACCATCTTCTTTATCGGGCTTTCATGGCAGTCAACATGGTGGCTCACCAGCTGCTGCACCCCTAAACTTTCATGGTAGTCAACATAGTGGCTCACTAGCTGCTGCACCACCGAGCTTTCATGGTAGTCCGCATGGTGGCTCACCAGCTGCTGCACCCCCGAGCTTTCATGGTAGTCAGCATGGTGGCTCACCAATTGCTGCATCCCCCAGCTTTCATGGTATTCAGCATGATGGTTCGTCTTTTGTTGATCCATCATCTTCCACTCCATCATCATTATCCACTTTCAGCATATCTAGGTTGGATATTGGAGGCTCTCGCCCAGTTGCATCTAGTGGTACTTCTAGACCTTCTAGTAGATGCAGGCAGAATCTTGGAGGGGATGTACAATATGATAGTTATAATCGGTTGATAATCGTCCCCTACGAGGATGGGTAAGTAATTCTTATACTATTTTTAAAGTTTTGGACGTACTTTTAGATATGTTAAAATTAAGGAATATTTATTTATAATTAAAACTTTTAAAATTTTAAGATGTTTATTAATTATATATGCTATCTTTAATGCAAGTTTTTGCCATCCTTTCAGTCTACACATTTGGTTGTGGATTATATGAAGCCATTTTATCATGAGCCGTGAAATTCTTGGAGACAGGCACTGTACAACATCAGAGAGCAAACGTGGAATCAATTTAGGATAAAAATTGATTAAATTTATTTAATATTTATCGTCTTCATCCAATGTTACTTCTTTATATTGCAGACAAAGTGTACATGGCATCCTCAACATCAAAATAAAATAAATTCTATTTTCGAGAAGAAGGTAACTAAGCGGATTAAAGATACCCTGTACGCTGCTCGGAATGCTAGTAAAATGTCGAAGTGGTTAAGAGAAGATGTTTGGAAGAAACTTCTTGCGAAATGGAATACCAATTAATGGAAGAAGAAGACTTAACAAGCAAAGGCAAACCGCGGCTCCAGTGAAGGTGGCTCGTTGCACACAGGAGGTTCGATTAGTTTTGCGGCCCATAAACTAAGATTGGTAATTACTTATAAAACTTTTCTTAGTTTTACATATAGAATTTTACGATTGTAATGTCTAACTTATAATTTTTGTTATGAAGGAAAAGGAAAGAGGATGAGATATGAGTCATGATAAGGTCATCGAGGAGAAGCATAAGAAAAAGAAGAAGGGCGGTACAAGAGAACACTGGGTGGAGACGCGTGCGTCGGACACATATGTTAAATACTAACTTCATAATTATTTACCGTTTATTAATATTAGTTTGTTTACATAATAGTTATATTTTCATTTCAGGAAGATTATCATAAAAGGGTGGAAAAATAGCAACAAACTCAACCTCCTTCAACTCAACCAACACCTGATGATACGGCTTTATTGTGGACAGAGGCAGCAGGTGGAGTAAACAAAGGCAGAGTCTACGGACTTGGAGTACCCCGACCTACAGGTCATCCAAACCCACTCTTAGCGGATTCTTGTTCTTCGCAAAATCAAGAACAGATGAAAGATATGAGAAAAGAAATTCGTGATTTGAAGCAACAATTGGACTCACAATTCGGAACATTTGTTAGAAATTCATGAGAAAACATGGGCACGATCTATGTGATGATGAGGATAAACAAACTTAATCTGATTTGTAGTAGTTTAGGTGTATGGTATTGGTTGATAGGTAAACTTGATTGGGAGAGACAAGTTTATGTTTTATTTTTAAACTTGAATGTGGGCTACTATTTGAATGTTTTTATGCCTAAAATTATTAGGTTTAATGGATTTGTTGATTTAGATTGTGTTAATGGCTTTGATTTATTTGTTTAGATGTTATATTTGTTGATACTTGTTGATTGGTTGTTGGAGTTATAGTATTGTAATTGTTTGACAGGTGGTGTAGCTCAAAATTGAGCAGAAAAAAATCAGACAGTTGCCCAGTTTTTTTCAAAAAACACCCAAATTTCCGACCAATTCAGTTGAAAATGATAAAAAAAAAATTAATTATTTTTTAACAGCTTTCGACGGATTCCATCGAAAATTTAAAGAAATTTATTTTTTAATTATTACTTTTCGACCGAATCGGTCGGTAAATATTTATTTTTATTATTTAATTTTAAATAAATATTTATTTCTATTTAAATTATTACGACTGATTTGGTCGAAAATTTGAAAATAATTTGGTTGTCTAACCTTTTGAACGTTCCGACTACTTTGGTCGAAAATCACCGAAGGATTCGGTCAGAAGTTATTTTCCGGCCAACTGTTTTCCGACCGACCAATTTTGGTCAGAAAGTAGTCAGAAATCTGTGATTTCCAACCGATTTGCGAACGTTTTAACAGTCGGAATTCAGCCATTTTCTAGTAGTGGAAGAAGGGAGACGACCTATGTGTGTTGAATGCAAGAAAAACAAGCTGCAATGGAGGAATCAACCGTGGAAAATAGGGATTGGGGCGGCTGATGAGGCGGTATGGGATGGATTTTTTTTTTAAAATCTGGTAATATTACATTTATATAGGTTGGGGCCAAAGTGTAATAACTGAAACTTTAGGGATAAAAACTCAAATTTCCCCCTTCACTTTATAATCCCGCTTAACCATTAATTAAGAAAGAAGGTCAATCCTACAATAATTAAAACCTGAAGATCACTTGACCAGTTCAAATTTGAAAGAAGATCACCTCGCCAACTACCCCGACTTACATGGTGCAAGATAGAAATAGCAAAAACTAATCTAAAATTGTTTCTCTTCTAGTAACACTTGAATGGAACATGTCCCATGTCAGATCGATATATCAACTTCTAATTCTTGACTAAAATGCAACTCATAAGAGTCGGGCGACAAGCTACTAAGAGTGTGTTCGGTATAACGAAAAATATTTTCTGTGGAAAATATTTTCTTGGAAAACAAGCAGTAATTTTATTTATTTTCTGATGTTTGGTACGCAAATTAAGGAAAATAACTTTTCAAGAGTATTCATAAATAATTTAGATACAATAAACAAGAAGCCATAAACTTTCGAACCGACAACCTTTCGAACCTACAAATTTCACAAACTTCTGAACCGCTAAACTTTCAAAACCGCGAACTTTCGAACCCATAAACTTCCAAACACATAAACCTCTGAACTCATTACTATGGAACTTGTAAAATTTTGAACCTGTAACCCGAAAGATGAAACAATTAAAACTGAAAATATATAAAAAAAAAAACAATCGGGGGGGCTTGGGTAGTAGGGGCAGGGACGGGGCTTGGGTGGCAGGGGCAGGGGGCAGGGCTGGGGGGAGGGGGGAAGGGGCGGGGATGTACAGAAAAACTAAAATATAGAAATTTGAAATTACAGAAAACTAAAGTAAAAAAAAATGTGCGGGGTAAGGGGGTGCAGAATAACGGAAAAATAGGAATTTAAAAATTACAAAAAAAAAGTAAAAAAAAACTTTTTTTGTGCGGGGTGGGGGTGGGTGGTGCAGAAAAATAAAAAAACAGAAATTTGAGATTATGAAAAAAAAAGTAAAAAAAATTTTGCAGGGGGTAGCAGGGTGGGTGTTGAAGGAAAAAAAAACTAAAATTTTAAATAAAAAAAAAACAAGAAATCCTTTTTGAAGAGAGGGGGTGGGGTGAGTGTGGGGTGGGTTGGTGAGGGTGGGGAATAGGGTGGGAAGGTTGAGAAGGAGTTTTGAAAAATATTTTTACTCCTCTTGATAAGGAAAATATTTTGAGTTCATCAGGAAGATGTTTTCCAACACATTTAAGCCAACCAAACATGGAAAAATTGGAAAACATTTTCCTGAAAATGTTTTTCTTCATGCCAAACACACCCTAAATAACTTCTTTTATTTGTTACAAGGGGATCTGAGAAGGAGACAGAAAATGAATTAGTATGAACCAAATCCACAACTATTATATGGTAAATTTTCACTGCTACTACTACATTATAAACTTGGCGTAATACATGCGGAGACACCTAAAGTTGGCACAATCTTTCACTTAGACACTTAAACTAGGTCTCTTTCCAATTAGACACAAGAATTCATTTCAAACTGTACCAATTAAACACAAAACTATGACATGGCAAAGAAAGTGTTTCTCAGTCTCCTTGAGCGCGTGAATGAAATAAACATGGCATTTTTCAATTAATTAAATATTAAAAATGCATTTGACCATTGTTATGTAATTTTGATGTTATCAAAAACACCTTCAGATCTGAAAATTTTGTGGGGAGTCCAAATGGGTCGCAGTTTGTCGGTACCAATTATTCCGGCGAGGCAATGTCGGGTGGCGTACGGGATTAGTCCAAATTTGAAAGTTACAAAGTTTCGTTAGAAGATTTGATGCCGACAGGTGGTTACCCCTTTCTGCTTCTGCTATGAGAACAGCTGATTTGCACAAATAAATCGCTGATTTCCGTCACCAAAAAAGTATTCTCCAGTCAATTCGGATCCGGAATCTATATTAACAGTCAAAACCCAGCCTGTCGTGTTCTTCGCAGATTTCGTTTGAAAGTTTTCTGACCAAAATCGCATCAAATCAGTTCCAATCAAGCTAGAACTACGAATGCAACTTCCCAACAGGTGTAGGGATGAACCCCAGTGACTAATTTGAACAAACACTCACGAAATCAACGAACCCTAGGTCGTCTTCTTCTTCGTACAATCAGCTCAAAATTTCGAACCAAAAACTAGCAAATCATTTCAAATCAAGCTAATCCTTCCGATTCAGCTTTAAAATGATGTTTCCAACTAGATTCCCAAACTCCCAATCGAATTCAAACTCAAATCACGAAACCGGAATAAAAAAAATTCCCAAAATCGCTTCTGATATTCGATGATAGGGTTCAGAAGCTAAATCCCAGCTTACCCAAACTCAAACCAGTAATACTAGCTCAGATAATGAAGGAATTCAGAAATTTCAGAATCAAAATCGAGCAAGAGAACAGGAGGATGAGGAGGAGGAGGAGGAGGAGGAACATCGGCTGGTGGGGGAACGTGGGAGGTCGGGGACGAAGGGGATATTTGCATTTTAGTGGAAATAACACTATATAGCTGAGGTGGACAGTGAGGTGGACAAAAAAATGATGTGACACGATTTATATTGGCTACTTTTGCCATGTAGACGGAGATTGCAGAACACGCGCTTGGTTAATTAATAAGCCAGCAAAAAACGTGTCTAATTGGTATGAGAATTGCCTAAGAAACGTGTCTAATTGGAAAGAGGCCTAGTTTAAGTGTCTAAGTGAAAAATTGTGCCAACTTTAGGTGTCTCCGTATGTATTACGCCTTATAAACTTTGATGACAATTATTAAAATTATCTTTGCTATTGGACATGAGACGAGTTTAACCCAAAAAAGAAAAAAAAAGAAGAGATGAGTAAAAGGGAAAATGAAATGAAAATTGAACTTGACCACATGAAAGTTGAATAGTGATGATAGGCTATAATTGCGTATTTTAGTCGATTATTACACTCTAATTTACTGCACTTTAGTTGAGTTTGCGCTTTAATCGCTAGTGTTTTGCACTAACGGTGTGTTTTATGCCTTGTAGGAGTGATTCCGGGCTATATAGATGTTATGGAATGAATTAAAGTGATTTGGAGCTTTGAAGTCTGAGTAAAAGCTCAAGGAATTAAGCCGGGATCGTATTCGGGGATCAACGGATGATAAAACAACAAAACGAAGACTCGAGTAGGCATATTGCGCACTGTCTAGTAAAATGCACATAACTTTTTTCTCAGAACTCTATTTGGGATCCACAATATATGGTTGGAAAGCTAACTCAAAGGGCTACAACTTTCATGTTTTACGTTTTTCCAAATTTCGAACGGAACAGGGTGAAAAACGCGGTAGAAACCGCGACCGCGGAACTGACCGCGGCAGAAAATCAGAGAGCTTGTCTGGCCGCGGTCCTACCGCGTTTTGGCCGCGACCGCGCCGCTCCAGGCGTCAAAAAGAAGTCCTATTTCGTCCGGGACAAGGTTATTTCGGCCCTACGCTATTCCAACTTGTATAAAAGGGGTCCTAAACCTATTTTGAAGAGAGGAGGATAGATTTGAGACATAGATTCGACCTAAGGAGGCAAGAACACATTGGGAGCAAGGCGGAGAATTCTTCTACGAGTTTTTCCTTCCTCTTCCTATTTTTCATTGTTGGTTATGACTTTTAGTATTGTAGTATTACATACTATTATGAATAGCTAATTTGTTATCTAGAGTTTTGATAGAACCTTTTGTAGGATAAATTCTTGTTATGTTTTTATATAATTGAGCCATAGCTTTTCTCTATTTGTTCAACTACATTTATATTGTGGTTGGTTGAAGAGCTCTCAATTAGCTGTGCCTATTTAGTATGCATAACTCGGGAGAGAGTGCATATTTAGGTAATTGTTGAACAACACCACTCCCAGAGTATATGAGGGATCAATAACCGAGGGTTTAAAGGCGGGATTAGGGATAACGAAGCCTTGGGTGTGATCTGAAGTGAGCTGTATTAAAAGCTAGCTAGCGTAGCTCGGGAGAGTGCGTCTAGTAAATTATCGTAATTACTCGGGAGAGATTTACGGTAATAAGAGTGCTCATGATCGGTAGAGAATACTTAGGCGAAATTATAGAAGACATAGCGGGAAGGATTCCGACAATTGGGGAAATCATAACTCTAGACCTCCTTAATCTTTTCTCTAACCCTCAGTATCGTTAGCTGTTAATTTACTATATTAATTTGTTAGTTAATTAGTTAAACAGAAGAATCTTAATATCTATAAGTTAGGAATTGTTCAAACTTGTCTTCTTGGTGATAGTGAACAGCTGTAGCTAAACCTTAGTTCTCTGTGGGATTCGACTCCGGACTTGTAAACCGGATTATATTTGCAACGACCGCATTGTCCTTTTTATAAGGCATAGTTGGGCGTGATCAAATAGTTGGTGGAGATTGGTTTGAGTGGAAGCTGAAAACGGACGCCTAAGAAAATTCGCCCCTGCGTATAAGACCCGCTGAATTAGTCTTTCTCTTAAGCCACCAAGAAGTTTCTTATCTTTTTTTTCTCCCCCAAAGTTCGGTATTTGTATTGGGGTTCTCACTAATCCGGATCCGTACTGTATAAAGTATATTAAAAAGAAAAATATTTTTCTACCAGATTTTTTTGGTCCAATACTTGAATTAAGATTTAAGAGCACAGGAATATATTTATCACACCACAACCTTTGATGGTCTAACAAGTTTCTTATCACTTGCTAGTTTTTCAAAGTCTATTCCCCAGATTTTTTTTATGTAATCAATACTTTGTTTAGCCTCTAATATTCTTTTGTTATTTCGTTGTTAGTACAGAAGACAATGACGTTAAAACAAAACTTCAAGTAATTGTTGTCCGTTATAATAATGTATGTAATTGGTCTCACACTCATAATTTAATTGGGCATGTCTCAACGACGGCAGCTACTTCGTCCCATTCTATATAGCTGTATTTGTAGTATAAACAGGCGAGGGCCACAGACCACAGTTTTAAAGGTTTTTCTTTAGCTGATACTCTCATTGAAAAATTATTATTCTCTTTCTTATTTATTGGTGAATGGTGGTGATACACTTTCTCTTTAAATTTTAATTTAAGGAAATTAAAATATATATTATTGCTCATTGATAGTAGCATACAATTCATTCGCCAAGTTCAGGCTCTATTTCATGGTCGGGTTATCATATCAAACTTAGTCTATTTCATCAAAGTCATCAAGCTAAACTTTGCAACAAATAAATATATCTCTTATAGCTTATAAATTGAAAAATAAAAATTATAACTAAGTTGCAAGATAGGATAAAAAATTGCCAATTAATTAAACACAATCACGATCATTTATTCATCTTCTATATCAGTATGTCTATGGATAAGGGTGTTTGACTAAGCTTATAAGCTGGTCAAATTGGCTTATAAATACTTTTTGGCTTTTCTACGCGTTTAGTAAACATCCAAAGTGCTTATAAGCTAAAATCAGCCATAAGCCATAAGTTGATGTTGGTCACCCTCAACTTATGACTTTTCAGCTTATAAGCATTTTTAGTTTGACCAAGACTTTTACTAGTTTATCCTTAATAATATTTTTAATTTACAAAAATATTTTTCCCAAAATAAATTTTTTAATTTTCTCTTCATTCCATATTCATTGTTTATCATTCTCTCTACAAATAAACTTTTTAATTCATAATCTTTTGTAAAAAGTTTGAGGGTATTTTAGTCTTTTTAACAAAAGAACAGCTTATCAGCATTTTTCTACCAAACATATCAACTGCTTATTATCAGTTTTAGCACATCTATCCAAACACGTAAATGTTTGTTTAAAAAATCAATATCAGCATTCAAAAATGTTTTTCAACACTTCAAGTTTATCAACTATTTACAATCAGCTTATCCAAACGGACTTGTACTTCAACTTTCAAACCAATTAGGGATAAGATATGTAGAAAATATGGACTAAACGGGGATAAAAATGTGGAGAAATGGAAAAGTTCGTGTTGATGATGTGGTGGTGCTTATTACCAATTTAATCTTTGTGAACTTAATTATAACTTTTAGTGCCGTATTGATGAATTTTTGGCAATTTTTAGTTACCAACTTTTAGTTTTATGACCTTGTTGAAGTAGATTTAGCGATGACCATTGGTGAAATCAGCCCAAGTTGTGAAATTATTTGGAATCCCTTTTTTCCCCTTTTCAAGACCAGTAAAATGTGAGAAAATTACAACCCTTCTCTTGTCAAAAGTCAAAACTATAATCAAACGATAGTAATTTCGTTTCATCATTCATATATAACAACGGTAACATCAAAATACGTCACAGGCACAAGAGAAAAAATTTGAAAAGTAGGACATTCATTTGTAGAAGTGGTCTCCGTTGGTGCATGCGTAGACATCACAATAAATAGATGGATAAAGAACACGGTATTCAGCACCCACACTGGAACCCATCTAATCGCTTAAGGGGCACTAGAAACCCGTCTAGTCACTTAACGCCCACTAAAGGGGAAAGCTCTCCCTACCAATATTTTTTATCCGTTTAAGGGTGAAGGGATTCTATCATCCCACCACAATCCTCGGTAGCCGGTCAAAAGTTGAAGTCAAGTAATTGTATTGAATAGCTTGTCCTATAGTAATAAGGAAAAATCTCACACGTCCGTGTTGACTTGACCAGTTGACATATATGAGAGAGAGAGAGAGAGAGAGAGCAGTTTTACCGATATAGATATCCACAACAATTTCCTATCATATATTAATCTCTTCTCCTTCATTTCCATAGAACAAATTAATCCTTCATTTCCATATATCCTCTGTATAGTACTATCCATGGATAGAGAACAAGAAGAGATGCAATTCTTAGGCCTCTTTGATATCTACATAGAAGCCTACAAACTCATCTACAGATGGAGGAAAATATTCAGCCAAATCACCCTATCTTTGATCCTTCCTATGTGCTTCATCATCTTAGCTCACATGGAAATTTACCATCTTTTCTTCTCTGACCTTAAACACTCTGAGTTTCAGCTCCTACACACACACACCGGCACGGCGAAATACAACAAGATCTCTGATCACATAAACTCAGAGCTATCCTCTCTATGGCTTTTCATAATTGTCTACATCACTTTCCTCATCATCTTCTCCCTTCTTTCAACCTCTGCTGTGGTTTACACAATCGCATGCATATACACTTCACGTGAAGTCAATTTCATGAAAGTTATGAGTGTTGTGCCTAAAGTTTGGAAGAGGGTTATGGTCACTTTCTTGTGTGCTTTTGTTTGTTTCTTCATCTACAACCTTGTTGCCTTCTTTTCCCTAGTTATAGTGTCAATATGGGCTTTCAGCATGCAGGGAGAAAATGATGGTCTTGTTAAGTTTGTTCTCGTGATCATGGTGATTGTTTATGTCCTTGGATCCGTGTACCTTTCAGTTATATGGCATTTAGCTAGTGTGGTAACTGTGTTGGAGGATTCATATGGGGTGAAAGCCATGCTTAAAAGCAAGGAATTGTTAAAGGGGAAGATGACAATAGCCTTAGTTTTCTTTTTCAAGTTCAATCTTTCACTTGGTATCCTAAACTTTATTTTCAAGAAGTTTGTGGTACATGGACATGGGAAGCATATGCATCTAGGGATGTTGTATAGGACAGGATTTGGGTTGCTTTGTCTTCTTATGATGTTCAAGTTGGTGTTATTTGGTTTGGTGATACAAACAATTATTTACTTTGTTTGCAAGTCCTATCACCATGAGAACATTGACAAATCTGCACTTTCTGATCATCTTGAAGTTTATTTGGGTGAGTATGAACCTTTGAAGTCCAAAGATGTTCAAATGGAGGGTTATGAAGTTTAAATTAATTTGACTTGTATCTTCTGGTATATGTATCAGAGTTCATCTTCTGTTCCTTCACAGAACAAGGGGAAAATGGAACTTCTTTCTACTCAGAGATTAGCCCCATTTGTAATATTGTTTGTACCGAAAAATTTCTCTATGTATTTGACCTTTTCAATGGATAATAATTATGAGAATTATTAATAGGAAAGATGAAAAACTAACAGTCTTCATCAGCTTTGGTTATTATGTCATAATATGGTTGTCTTAGATGTTATTTTATGACATGATTTATTATGCTTGATTAGCAGTTTTGACATAATTAATTGTTAATTTGCAGTTTGATTCTTATGCTTGTTCCTTTCTTCCTTTCTCTCTTATTTTTTACCTAATGGTACATGCATAGAATATCTTAAGGGAAGATTACTCCTAGCAGAATTTCATTGATCTTGGACAGAGTATTAATGCACAGAAACAAACAAGTAATTGAACCACGAAAACCCAATCGTTCAAACTCAAGTACAATTTGATTAGATAAAGACTCAAATTATCTCATATTTCCAAGAACAGACTTATCTATTGTGCGCTAAAGCAAATTTAAAACGAAACTGTCTTTAACTATCTTACATGTTAACTACTATTATAAAACAAGAGAGGAGGAGTGACCGGGAGAAATACGTTAAAGATAATGAATTATATATATCCAATTGCTAGTTATTGTAAAGGAGTTGCTCCGTTCGACATGCCCAGATGATTTCCTAAACAGTTCTCATCATATTAAGCAAGATAGTCTCAAGCAGTGAAAGACTCAGCTGAGGTGATTTGATGATCAAGGAATTCCAACTGGGTTTATTAAAATCCCATGTTTTAAAACCATACAAAGACATACATTTTGCTTTTGAAAGTACACAGCAATTACATACCTCAGATTCTGGAGAGCGAAAAATCTGCATCTACCAGAGAATTTAAGTGATGACAAATGCTTCACTTCAACAAGTTCCTTCTTCCATTAGTACAGAGCTAGCGAGTCCCGCAATGTAAGGACCCATATATCTGAGCTAATTTAAGATCATCTCGGGAAACCATTTGACTAGCAAATTCCGCCAAACCTACAACTTTTATTGACAGTTTATAAGTTACATTGGAAAAAACAAATAAAACATAAGCTGTGTGCATCACTTGGACAACTGCTGAGAAACATCCTTCTTTTCTTCTTGTTTTGGTCCTGAAATAGCTGCTGTTGCTGCAGCAGTCATGGCAGCAGCAGCTGCACCTAATTTTACACCTCCTGCAGCTTTAACAGCACCACCAATTTTTGCAAAGGCAGCTATTCCTCCTACAAGAATGGCTCTCAATGCAACTGTTGGTTTTATACTCATATTTGTCTACCTGAAAAGGAAAAGATCAGAGCTGTATCGCCCCAGATCACCTAAATACAAAGATCACATTGGCGTACGTATCAAAGAAAGATATTAACACAATGTTCTCTGAGACGCAGATGCTTGGGTAAGACAATAAAGAGCCCAACTGGCATATTCCTAAAATTTAAAATAGAATATAACAGATAAGGACTTGATAAAATCCCTATGCTACTATTTTCAGATACTGCGCACCATAAAGATCGTTTCCTTCATTTCCTAGAACAGACAATATACAGATTGGACCAATGCAGTAACTGCTGCAACAACTTTGTAAATGGCTAAGGTGTGGTAGAAAGGCCGAAATGGAGTTTTAGCAGCTTCACAAATGGATTTAAATTTTACACGAGTTTTGGAGAGAGAAGTCCTAGTGTCCCAGCACTAGAACCAAAGGCAAAATTATTCATGATGACCATTACGAATGGCAAAATTCTTCATGACAACCATTACAGATATTCTTCTTCTGCAGATTCTAAAGCAGTGATTCCTATTTAAAAGAACACCATGATACTAAGCATTGGTGTCCAATATAAATCTTCTCTCCCGGGCTCCATAGCTTTTCTACCTAAGAACGTGTGAACAGACTTCTTCAAGTCAATCAAACTTTGCTTTTATTTCAAAAATATCATGTCAGTATGGAAAGCATCACATATGCTGAATTTTCCCAACCACAAAAACCACAAAGCAACATAGAGATCCCTGTGCTCATAGAGTCAACTACGACAATTTGAGCAGTGTCTCTATATGAATTCTACAGGTGTCAGGTACCGCTCCAAATAAACAGGTGTTCGATCATGTTGGCATGTCTTGCACCATGTCACTAGCATGCTGCAAGAACATGGCACGACCACAAAGATCATACAAGCTGAATGCTCCGTCAGTAGTACAAAATAGTTCCTTTATCTAATCAAAAAGCTTTCAACTCTCACCACCAACCCTGGACCGACTGCAAGCAAAAAGACCTATGTTCCTCTGGCTTATCACTACATCCATGCATTCTATGGTCATAAATAATACTGTTACACGAAGTACCTATATCATCCGTTAGAACCCTCCTACAGAACCATATGTTTCCATACCAAGACAAAAGGAAGAAAACTAGGAACACTAGAATAATAATTAGCCTTCATTCCTGCAACTGGCATGTACTTCGAAATAACTCTAATACTCCTTATCACACTCTCTTTATCCACATCATCAGTCCGTTGAGCCTTTCCACTGGTATTCATCAATCCATTTAGAATGTGAAGATTTCCCTATGCCTATTTGTATGACATGACCACGACTGATGTGCTCGTCTTGGATTTGGCCATTTAGGTTGGTCAAACTCGTGTGCCCTTAATTCGTCCAAAAGGACAGTTGTTGGTATTGGAATGAAAAGGCCCAAATGGAGCAGGGTGGACTGAGGATTCATCTGGCCAACCTAGCTAGTTGGTGAATGAGACTTAGTCTTTGATGTTGTAAGACATGACGAGTTAAGGATATGATCAACTGTAAATCCGTGGGTCTACATTAGGAATTTACACTAAGTCATGGGACATGTTATTTGTAGGTGATATTGCGACCATTAACGAAACTAATGAAGGAGTCAACAAATTAGCTCCACATAAGAAGAATAAAGTTGAGGTGAGATTTAGATGGATGTATGGTGCCTAAAAGCAGACAGTTCAGATATCCAAATCTTAGTGTTCCAAAATACTGATATGATAGATGAAAATGCAACACATAAAACTAAGGAAAGATGACTAAAATGGGTCAGTTTTATGGAGTGCTATGCATAGGACGACACCTACCAATGTGAAAGGCAATTTCTATGGGCTTGGTTGCAAGAATAGCAATATTAGATGAGTGTTGGGCTCCTAACGCCAACAATTTTCATAAGATGAGTGTGTAAAATACGGATATTAAGATAACAAGATGGATTTACGGTGATACGAGATTACACAAAAGCAAAATGATCACATTTGATAGAGGGTACAAATAGCAGACATAGAGAATAAAGTGAAAGAAGATGACCTTCTTATCAACAAAAAAAAAAGTGAATAAAGATGGCCTAAATGGTTTGTCCAGGTCTATGTAGACCCTCCAAGCTCATTGGTCCATATGACACTATGATAATGAAAGGTAATAAAGATGAGTAAAATTACAGGCAATTTATCTTTAAAAAACCTACAATTTCTTGGAAACCCATACAAACCTAAAAAAAATACAACATTATGAAGAAAAGATCCACTTAGGCGAACAAACTAGTCGAGATCAAGGCTTACTCACGTACACTTACATTAGATCCTCTACTCAATAGGAGCCCTTTTAGTTTGTTTAGATTAAACATCAGTGTGAGATAAGTAGAAAATGTAGAGAAATCTGAAAAATCTAGTGATGGAGGACCCCTAGTTTATCTTAAAGTACATTACTGAGTATTCAAATGATGAGTCCAAATGAAGTGGAATGAAAACAGAGGATCATGTAGCCAACCCCAACTAGTTTGGACTTAAGGTGTCATTGTTGTATTAGTATGCATTATATGAACTGTGTTACTCAGTTTAGAGTATTGTAACATAGACCCAACCCATTTTTAATGACATGATAATGGACAATATTGCTAAATGAAGAGTCACCAACTGTAGCGCAGGCCTTTATCTCTGGAAACCAAATCAACCGGACTACCACAATGAGTGGATATGCCTGGGTTGTTTACAACTAGTGCAGCAGTTTAAGCTGGTGACCAATAAAGTCAAGGATCTAAAATTGGATTTTAGAGAAATTGAGTGCTTTAATTTGGTGTAGAGGCAGTGATTCACTAAGCAAAGCTTGGCAGTAGCCAGTAGGTGAAACTTGATCAGAACAAAGCGTGGAGGAAGCATAACTAGAAGCAGAAATTAGATCCCTTGATCTCAAAAAGACCTAACGAAGCATATCCTCTCCTAGTTGGAAAAATGTACTCTTAGAAAAGGACAATTTTATGTATCAAAGCGGTACAACACATCAAGTGTAGGAGGTCATATCAGAATGGACTTGGGAGAGATCACTTCTACTCGGCATTGCCGCAAGAATGGCCAGCTCAAGTCACTTTCACCGGAGAAAGAGCAAGAAATAGAGTAACAAAAGAAGAGAATATCCACTCTTAACTTAAGCTTTTATCAGTTTGACAGATTGTACAGCAAAATAAAGATTTTTTTCATCTGTTCATGCTTCTAACATCAAGATCAATCTTAGCAAACTTTTTAATTGGTAACATAGGATGCTTCTGTCTCATTGTGAGCACCAATAAAGTCCACTAATTGCCTACACAGAAGAGCTAACCTAACCGAAAACTTGTGCTGCCCCATGATAATGAATGCAACATCTAGTAACTTAACAAACAACCCAAAAAAATAAAGAGAATTAAAGGTTTTGGGAATTTCAACTTCTATTTATTGCCCTCAACAGCTTGAATCCCCCAACTTTCATATACATTGACCTTCTTACAATATTTTTCAAACTATCATGGATTGCAACACAAAAACTGAAGAATTTCGGGGTAAGCAGAAGACTGCAGATTAAATTGCAAATTAAAATTCATTTTCGAAGAACTAGATTATAGAATTGGCACATGTGAAACGA